CCTGTGTCAAATCTGGCCTAACGGTCCACCGACAAATCTGGCTGGACCTCCTCAAAATTTACCGCTCCACTCTAGCCTCGGCCAAGTCGTCCTTCTACTCCAGGATAATCCTGGAGGCGAAGAACAACCCCAGGCTACTGTTTTCCACCACAACCCGACTCCTCCGTCCCCCCGCCACCCCGCGCAGGTCATCTCCTCCAACCTTCACTGCGAGGAGATGCTGGATTTCCTTGAATCCAAGATCAAGGGAATCCGCTCCGCGGTCACTTCCCCTCCAACTTCCACCCACCACCCACCCCTTCCCTCCCACACTCCGACTCCTACCCATCCTCCCCTACACACCTTCGTACCCGTTTCCCCACCCTCTGTCACTGAACTCATCCTATCCCTAAAACCAACCACCTGCTCCCTTGACCCCATCCCCACTCCACTCCTTATCTCCCAGCTCCACTTTCTTGCCCCACATATCACTGACATCATCAACCTGTCCCTCTCCTCTGGCTCTGTCCCCATTCCATTAAAAACTGCCATCATCACGCCCACCCTGAAAAAACCCTCCCTTGATGCGTCGCAGCTATCAAGCTACCGGCCCATCTCCAACCTCCCCTTTCTCTCCAAGGTCTTGGAAAGAGTTGTCGCCTCCCAACTGCGCTCTTTCCTTTCCACCCATTCTCTTTTTGAACCCCTTCAGTCAGGTTTCCGTGCTGCCCATAGCACAGAAACTGCCCTGGTCAAGGTCACCAATGATATCCTGACCATCTGTGACCAGGGCTCCCTCTGTCTCCTCGTCCTCCTCGACCTATCGGCAGCATTCGATACGGTCGACCACGCTATCCTACTCCACCGCTTGTCCTCCCACCTCAACCTTCAAGGCACTGTCCTTGAATGGTTTAGGTCGTACCTTTCTCACCGTCTTCACTTTGTCTCAACGAATGGCTTCTCCTCCACCCCCCGTACTGTCTCATGTGGTGTCCCTCAGGGCTCTGTCCTCGGTCCCCTCCTCTTCACCCTCTATATGCTCCCCCTCGGTGACATCATCCGCAGACATGGAGTTAACTTCCACATGTATGCGGATGACACCCAACTCTACCTTTCCTCCTCTACTCTCAACTCCACGACCACCGATGTCCTGACAGCTGCCTGTCCGACATCGAGTCCTGGACGAGAGACAACTTTCTTCAGCTCAACGTGCGAAAAACCGAGGCCCTCCTGATTGGCTCACGTCAGCGCCTCCGCACCTCAGGCGCTGACACCATCAGCATCCAAGGCTGCACTCTCCACCTCTCAAAGCCAGTCAGGAACCTCGGCGTTTTGTTCGACCCTGAGCTGTCCTTTCTCCCTCACATCCGCACCACAACTGGCACCGCCTTCCATCACCTCCGGAACATCGCCAGACTACGGCACTACCTCACCCCTCACGCTGCTGAAACCCTGGTTCACGCCTTTGTCACCTCAAGGCTGGACTATGGGAACTCTCTCCTCGCCGGCCTTCCCGCCACCTCCCTCCACAAGCTGCAGGTCATTCAGAACTCTGCAGCTCGTGTACTGTCCCGCACCAGGCTTCGGGACCACATCACTCCCACCCTCGCTCGCCTCCACTGGCTCCCCATCCCCCAGAGGATTGATTTCAAGATCCTCATCCTCACCTACAAGGCCATTCACGGCCTTGCTCCCTCCTACCTCTCCAACCTACTATCCCCCTACCTACCTGCCCGTACCCTCCGTTCCTCTGGCTCCGGTCTGCTCCACGTCCCCCGCCCCAACCGCCCTACCATCGGTGGTCGGGCCTTCAGCCTCTCAGCCCCAGGCTCTGGAACTCCATCCCCCAGTGCCTTCGCCGCTTCCTCCCTTTCCTCCTTCAAGGCCGGTCTCAAAACCTTTCTCTTTGACCGTGCCTTCAGCTCCCCTCTCGACTCTCTTCCCCCTCCTCGCTCCCTCCCTTCCCTCCCCTCACCCTGACCATTTCCCCCCTCCTCGCTCCCTCCCTTCCCTCCCCTCACCCTGACCATTTCCCCCTCCTTGCTCCCTCCCTTCCCTCACCCTGACCATTTCCCCCTCCTCGCTCCCTCCCTTCCCTCACCCTGACCATTTCCCCCCTGCTCGGGTCATGACCCAACTGTGCAGCGCCTTGGGACGTCCTCCTGACGTGAAAGGCGCTTTATAAATGGAATCTTGTTGTTGTTGTGTTGTTGTTTATTCCTGTAATGTTTGTTAACGCCAAAGGGTGTTCTGCAATTCTGCCCAATTGGGAGCTCAAAAATGAACAGAAAGAATCAGTGCATAAATGACTTTAAATCTACTGGCAACATAAGGGTTAAAACAAATTGTAGCTCTTCCTACTTTCAAAGTCGAAGCTTAAGCATTCTGTTAAAATTCCTTTTCCCATTTGGCCACTTGGTGGTGACTGAACACCAATGTTGCTGAGTGTTGGATGGGTCACACTGCAGAATGATAACATTTCCAGTGTAAAACTACAGGAACTCCTTTCAGTTACCGAGACTGCAGCATGTAGGCCACTCTGGGACTCAACAAAACCAAAAATATATTGCATACAAACAGAGTCACTACACTAGACAGCAATTACTTCTGAATGCTTTGAAACGCTTCAATGGTACAATCGCTCTGTCAAAATGAAACAACAACGATTACAATTGTATAGCGCCTTTCACGTCGGGAGGACCAGAATCTTGAACTGGATCCTCTGAAGGATAGGGAGCCAATGGAGTCGGGCAAGAGTGGGGGAGATGGGGTCACAGAGTTTGGTGCGGGAGAGGCTGCATAGGTCTGGATTATCTGCAGTCTGTGGAGGGAGGAGTTGGGAAGGCCGACAAGCAGGGGGTTTGCATAGTTGAGCCTGGAAGTGATGAAGGCGTGAACAAGAGTTTCAGTGGCCTGAGGGGTGAGGTTGTGGCAGAGTCGGGCGATGTTACGGAGGTGAGGAAAGGCAGAGCAGGTCATGGCTTGGATGTGGGGAAGACAGTTGAGGGTCGAACAAAACACCGAGGTTCCTGACTGGCTGGTGAGTTGTAGTGTACAACCATGGAGGTTGATGCTGCCAAAGCCTGAGGTGCTGAGGCGCTGGCGTGAGCCAATCAGAAGGGCCTCAGTCTTGTTCACATTCAACTGTAGGAAATTTGCCCTCATCCAGGACTTGATGTCCGACAGGCAGTCTGTCAGGACAGCAGTGGTCCTGGAGTTGAGGGTAGAGGCAGAAAGATAGAGTTGGGTGTCATCCGCATACATATGGAAGTTGACCCCATGTCTGCGGATGATGTCACCAAAGGGGAACATGTAGATATTAAAGAGAGGGCCAAGGACAGAGCCCTGGGGGATGCCAGATGTGACAGTGCGGGGGCTGGAGGAGAAACCGTTAGAGGCAACAAAGTGGAGACGGTGAGCGAGATAGGAATCAAACAGGCAAGGGCAGATCTGTGAAGATTGAGTAAAGTGGAGAGGCGGTGTATGAGGATGGAAGTGGTCAATGATGTCGAAGGCAGCAGAGAGGTCGAAGAGGACAAGGAGACAGAGGGAGCCCTGATCACAGATGTTCAGAATGTCATTAGTGACTTTGACCAGTGCTGTTTATGTGCTGTGGGCAGCGCGGAAGGCGGATTGGAGGGGTTCAAAGAGGGAATGGCGAGAGAGAAAGGAGCAGAGCTGGAAAGAAATGGGAGGTTAGTGATGGGGCGGTAGTTGGAGAGGAGGGATGGGTCCAGGGAAGGTTTTTTCAGGATGGGGATGATGACGGCTGTTTTTAGGGGAGTGGGAACTGAACGGATGGACAAGGAGAGGTTGATGACGTCGGACAGGAGAGGGGCCAGAAGAACTGGGAGATAAGGAGAGAGGTGGGGATGGGATCAAGGGAGCAGGTGGTGGGCTTGATTTTGCGAACGATGGCGGTGACGGAGGAGGAAGAGATAGGGTTGAAGGAGTATAGGGTTGAAGGAGATGGATGGGGGTTGGGTCATGTGGGAGAGGTGATGTGGGAGTGGCGGTGGACGGAGAAGAGGTGGATTAAAATATCCCCTCGATTTTGGATTTGAGAAAGTCCAGCATCTTGGAGTTTGAGGAGAGGATGGGCGAGGCGTGGGAAGATGGATGGGGGAGGCGGTTTGTGGTGGAAAAGTGAAGCCTGGGGTGCAAGGAGTATTGTTAAAATTCAGTTGCAGCTCTGGCTTCAAAGACTTCCAGATTTCTTAATTAAGAAATGCGGCAAAATCGTCATCCCTATTTTATTTTGTAGGGGGGAGATGAGTTGGGATGGAGAAATAAAACAACACAATAAAAACATTCTGTATGCATATAATTTTGAATGAACAGCATATTGCCATGAAGCTAAGCTGTTGTTCTGATGTGATAACTGCTGCGCTGAGCAACAAAGGTTTCAGCAGCTCTGAAACAGCAACTGCGTTACATGCCTGTGCAAAGTAGCCAGGGCTGGATGCTGACTCCATAGTTGATACAAGGCTGACAACATCACCCGGGAACAGCAACTGTTGAAAGTCTAAAATAGCAGTTGACTAAAATGACCCATTTGTCACCTCAAAGATTTAATTAAGCGCTTTGAGACGTTGATAAGACATGAAAAGCCATATATCAAATGCAAGGATTATTATTAATGAGACTAGTGAATACACAATGACTACACTTTAATAATCCTTGCACTCGATATAGTGCTTTTCACGTCAGGTGGACGTTTCAAAGGATTTGCTGTAAAGTGCTGTATCTGCATATTTTGTAGGCGAAATGTGACAGCCAATTTGCGCACAGCCATGTTCCACAAACAGCCGTGAAGTGAACTTGATGAACTTTGCAGTATATCGTGTCAAGCACTTGAGATGTCCGCCTAATGTGAACAGCGCTATCTCAAATATGAGAATTATTATTACCAATTGGAATAATTTTCCTGATTTCTCCTAATTGTCTGGAAAAGAGAATACTGAAGAGACTTTGTAGAATAATAGACAGCAGAAGGGGAACAAATGCACACACTGTCTTTGTGAAGCCATATTTGCATAAATTTATTAGTTCCATACTTGTACTGTAGATACAAACGCAATTAAATATAAGAAAGAACTAAATGATTCCTAAACATCAATCACCTAGGTAACGTTGTCCTCACACCTTCTAAAAAACAGGTTTTGGAAGAAATTGGTTATTTAATTGTTCAAATCGCATTAAGTACTGTGGACATGATGTGACTTTAGTGTGTGTTTGCTAGTTTAAGATGTGCACTGAACCACTGTGGGCAACACGGAAACAAACAACCCAACACACGGTCTGAGAACTGTCCCCCCTCACCTCTCAACCCACCCACACTTCAAACTGGAATTAAGAAAGCAGAGGGCAAGACATCTCTGAAACTAAGACATTTAACTGAGAAGGGTCTTCCTGGTGAGTCTCAGTTAAATGTCTCATTAAATGTTGGTTAGACGGCTAATTGACTGAAGTTACTATAAGCAATACAACGGATCCGATTTATAATTTGGCGCACGACTGATGCAATGGAAAAACACTGGTCTCTTTGTAAAAGTAATTGGAGATCCTTTTTACGTGACTTCCAGTACACCATAGGATCTATTAGTCCATTTTTGGATGATCACAAATCAGTGGGAAAGAGCAGGTCATGCCAGTGGGGTAAGCTGGCATCAGCAATGGGCTTGATGGGGCAAATGATCTCCTGTTGTGCTACAAACACTCTATGATTTTAAAACGGGTTGGCTGTAACTCCAAAAGGCAGCATTATATACAGAGGGACATTAATTTCAATCTTTCACACAAACAAGAAGACTGAGATGATCGTACACTCTGTGGAAATGAATGTTCCCAGGCTTCTGAGATCATGGCGATGATCATCTGTAGAAAATGACCAGCCAGGCATAAATTACAGAGATGCATGTGTACAGTTTGGTCGGTTATCTAGGGGAGAAGTCTATAGACATTTCTGACTGGAGATGAAATAAGCAAAGTGGGATTTTACAGGATCCAGGCAAGAAAATGACTTAAAGAACTTTCCTTCCCCCATGCTATGAGCTGTCAATGATTTCTAATGTTTGTATTTCCTGGTTGACCTGAGGCAATTTGCTATTTTATTGCCTTCTGACACACTCATTGAGTAGATCGAGCTAACAAATTTGGGTGGAGGGGGTGGAAGGGAAGTCTTTAATAATAAATGACCTGGTGTTGGGTGATCACTTTAGTTTACAGGGTTTAACAGCATCCTTGATACTTTGGATTGAAACCAACTAAATGTACCATGCAAACTCCATCAACATGCAACAGTTGAGAGGAAAAAAAAACTGAACTGTTTAGAAATACAGTAAAATTCGCATAAGTCTTATCTTTAGAAATCATATAATTGCCTAATCCGTACATGCACCCGAGTTCCATTTAGTTTACTATCCAATCCACTTAGATTTTGTTGCACTAGCCGTACTTTATAAACAATTCATCTCCTAACTCGTAACTCCGCTCCCTGATCTTCCATTACTCCCACATTTCCCAGCTGCAATGAATAGCGAGAGATGACGTCCTGACCCGTCGATGCATGTGCACTTATTGGCCGACTGCATTGAACCACAGGAAACGTAGTCTTGACCTGCCGCCGCATGCGCAGAAGAACTTCATTTCTTGTGATTTAATGCGATTCCAATATTTGGCGGGAAGTGCACATGTGGCGACGGGTCAAGACTCATTGAATCATGGGAAACTTGAAACTCATTGAATTACACATGCACAATGTAGATATTGATTAAATTGGATTTTGTACAACTCATACAGTTTGCCTGTAGCTCGGACTTCACGTAAGGCATGTTATGGTCCCCATTGATATGACTTTTGTGAGTTTTACTGTCGTACTCTGCTTTCTTACGATACAATTGTAGAAAACACTGCCAATTAATAAGAGCACACAGAAATGTTTCTGAAAATAGGATCACTCTATCATCAACACAAAGATATTCTGATGCCTACTTGGTCAGTGAGGTGGCATTCAGAGGTAGCATGGACATAAATGAATACACCATATATATATATATACACACACACAGTGAAGTGGGAAGAGATCTACAAAACAATGTACAACTTAATGAGCCAAGTCCTGGAAAATTCACCATCATGCAGTAGGATTTACAGATATCTATCAGCGCTAGTGGGATCTATTATGGCCCAAATTCTTGTGGGTTGCTTTAAAAAAAAGCAAACAAGTATCATGCTGAACTATGGGAGTTTCTATGGAATCTACTTTCGGAGTTAAGTTCCCATAGCCTGGCGTGATTTCCTACCGATTACCGGAAGGAGCCTACATTTGGCTTCCTATTTATAGCAGGAATCCCATTAGAAATTGCCACATAATGTATTAGATCTTGTTACCTTTCGGAAGGATGCACCGATTACAGCATGCTGGAAATTGTCCAAAATGATGGGACAGAGAGGGGAGAGGAGAATTGGACTGGTTTGGAGAATAATCTGAACTGTTTGGGGTGGATGTAAAGTGATTCCGAAAATCAATTTTGTAGTAAAGTGTGAATTTGGTCAGAGGGTGATTTGATTTTACATTCTGTGAATTGTAAACCCACTGGAAGCAGACACCCAAGGCCTAACTGTGCATTAACCCTTTCACCAACTGCTTCCCAAGTGCTGTTTGTTTATTACGCCTATGTTTTCCTTTTGCAATAAAATTACAGATCTTATTTGACATCCTGTCAATGAACTAAAAGGGGATTATGCAGATTTGTTTGAGAAATTGTTAAATAATTATTTTGTTTATTTATCAATCAGAATGTCAGGCTGGTCCAACATTATCATGCCTTGGATTACTGTGGGCATGCCTGGCTTTATCATCCACCCACTTGTCTGGCTCCCTCATTGCTTTAGGCATTTTCAATCTAAACTGACTGGCGATTGGAAAAATCAGGCTGAAGAATTACAGACTTGAATGAATGTGATTTGTAAATGCAAAGCCTGAGAGCCACTGGGGCAGAGCCAATCATTTGGACACTATCCCTTTCCCTTTAAGGGAAAGGAAAGTGTGCTAGAGCATTTAAAACTAGACAAAAAAAGGGTAATGCTTTACAATTCCCACTTCAAGGTAGCGACAATCTGAACTTGGTGCTGTGGCTGAATGAAACAGTGCACATTTAAAATAAGCTCCACGTTGTGTGTAAATTGCATATGTGCCTTTAAAGGACCTGCAGTCACATGAACACTGTACCAATGCCTCATACAGGATCATTTTACACTGGTTTCTGTTAAGGACATAATCTTACAGGGACCCAGTTACAGCTAACAATGTTTACAATATAAAAACCTAATAAACTGGACTACAATACCTTAAGGCTCCACTGAAGTTAAAGCCAAGACAGAACAGAAGACGTGAAAAGCATTGTACGACATAAAATATGGCTTTTTTTTTCTCTAAACTGACACTACAATTAGGCAAAAGATCCACAAAACGAGTGTTACATATAGAGCATGGAGGGGTGGTGGGTCCACCCTCAGACTGGGTTAGTTTAATGCCAGCACCAAATGCAGCTCTGTATCGTGCTTCCTCTAAACTACGTCCAGAAGTGCGCTAAATTTGAGTTCAAAAAAGGGAGGAGTGAAGATTTTCACTGTGAAATGCAACAGCAATCTCCAGGGAGAAGCAGGAGGAAGATGATATTTTAGCAAACAGACTGCTTTTTTTTTAAAACAAATAAATTAAAACAAAAACTGTAATCTTTGCATCCTTACTGTTAACTTGTAAACTGTGACAGCTTAAGGCTAAATAAATGGAAAACACATTCTTAAAGCTATGGCAAAGTAACATTGCTCATTGATAAGGCTTGTGGCGTTGTTAACGTTCAAATCCAATGTAACCTTTTTTTGTAGGACAAAACACAATTAATCTTTTGCTTTTTTTTAATATAACGTCATCATTACAGCACAATGTTGTCGTTCTTTCCTTCCTTTGCTCCTCCTCTCGGTCTTCAACTCAGCGAGGTGATGTTTGACCGGCCGCCTGGCGGGGCAACGATGCGATGTCCACTGCGGCGTGGGCCGTCATCAACCTGAGCCCCTGCAAGCAATGAGACGGTCGCTGTGAAGCAAAAGTCACTGGCAACTGAGCGGCAGATACGGCAGAAGTCCTTAACCTTCAGCAAACATCAAATAGATTCAGCAAGTAGGTCAGAAATAAAATAACCCCTTAACAAACCCTCAAAAAAAATGTGGCCACTCAATCCATGACTGTTTGTAGGACACTGCTGTGCGCAATTGGCTGTTTCACTATTGTGGTGCTTCACCCACAAATACACAGTCACTCCACTTTCCATTATATTCTGTGAAGAGCTTTGAGTCTCAATCACATGATAAGGCACTGTATCAAATGCATTATCATTATTATCATTATTATTTTCAGCCTAAAAGGCAGCCGTTCGGTCAACCTGCTTTTTCCAAGTCATACTTTTTTCAATATTGATAATCGTTATTATGAATAATTTTACTTTCCTGTTAGTTGTCAACTAGAATCATAGAAATTTACAGGACAGAAAGAGGTCATTGTTTCTGTACTGGCTCTCAGAGCAAGGTGTTCATTCAAATCCACTTCTCTGTCTTATCCCCATAATCCCTCCAGCCTCTATATTGAGGCCACTCTAGGTGATCTGTTAAACTGCAACAAGCACAGAACAATTTGGGTTAAATGTGGGCTGCAATTCAAGCTTTGGAGCAGAATTGCTGCCGATGGGAATTCTAACAGAATTCCGTCTTAAATATTCCAGTTAAGAAATACCGCAAATTAGACTCCATGGCAGGATAGGGACCACAGAAGCACATAATGGCAAGGTAGTTAGATTAAAACCACATGATTAACTCCACATGCCTTACCAAGTATCTTGGGACAAGAGCAGAATCACCTCAATATCCAATTCTTAAATTACACTCAAATCTACTTAGTGATAATTCTCACTGAATCAAATCTCATCCAGCTAAATACTTTCAACCTTCAACACCATTTAGAAATTCAATTTCCCCATAACCTAAAATATCCAGTTAAATATCAGCGTTACAAAATAAAGGGTTCATTCACCAGAGGGTAATAGTTACTGCCATTCACTGAATGAAACTTAACTCCACAGTGCGATGGGTAATGGGCCAAAGCCATGTGTGAAGATCATTGGCTTATAAAATTTCAATGCATTGTCTGATCATGTCATCACCCCCTTCCTACATAGTGTTAAACCCACTGCGCCTTTTAGGCCAGTGTGAGCTAACACAGCACTTCTGCCAATTAAAACAGAGAAGGAGAACTTGTTCCCTATTGTAGTTAAGATTTACTTACTGGCACATTTGCCAATAGAAAAGAAGGGGGATAATTCTTCCCACTCAAAGGCAATGCATGTAAAAGAACATTGGCCGATTAACTTGACAAAGGGAATTATTCTTCCCACTCAAACACTGAATATGCATTGTAAGAAACAGCAATTGTTGATCATTACTAATCCTTGCTGGCAAAATTATAAACTGATATTTTTCCACTTAGTTGTACCCAGGGTATCATCATTTCCAGATAAATACAATTGGTGACTTTCTGATCTTTAGTCAGTCTATGTAAATAGAGTTGCTGTGGATATGTTCTGGATGAAAGTTGGGTGAGAAACATTTCTATATGTAAATAGGGTTTGTTTAAATGCAAGTTGTTGCTGAGATAGCTACAATGATGGAATTGGAAACTTCTGCAGCTGCATGACAAACAGAGTTTACATAATGTAGGAACTTGAATAGGATCCTGAGTGTGTGGCATCAAGTAAAGATAAAGGAAGGTTAGAAGATCCTTGGAGAGGGGCTGAGTTATCAGTAATATTAAAGGAAATGGTCAGAAAGCAGGGAAATGAGATCAGGGAAGATAACAGTTCATGGCGAAACAGCCGCAATGGGCTAATGATCTTCTCCTGTTCCTAAATTCCTATATAATTCTATATAAAAGATAGATCATTAAAGCCACCGGAAAATCTGGTTCACCAAATCAGGTTCATTCAGTACCAAACACAAGTTAAGAATATAAAAACATATCTAGGCGAAGGAATACAAGGTCCATCCAGTTTGCCTTCCACCATCCTGGCACTTGCATGTCATGTCCAACAATATATATTGTATCCCGAGATATTGTTTCCTGACAGAAATATGTCTAATTTACTCTTGAAAGAATCAACACTTTTATCCATGAGAAGTAAAAGAGTTTTGGGATTTATTGGGAAGAAGATGCTCTTTTTCATTGAGATTCTCTAGGTCCAGCCTCAAACCAAACTCATTCACCCCGTTCCCCCCTGTTTATTGTTTAGCTTGAAGCAACTGTTAACTGGGATGTAGCAGAGGGAACACAGCTGCCCTATTGAGCAATCTACATCAAGACCAAATACAACACATGCAGAGAAACAAGAAAACAATCAATTAACTGGAGCCACAGTTCAACTCCTCAATGAAGCAATGTCTCAAATTAGCACAAGTTCCATTAGCACAACTTCCATTAGGTGCCAAAATTCCGCCACTCGAGTTCCAGGGTGCAAAGTGAGTCATAAAAACTAAACTGCCAGCAATTTCTGGCACTAAACCTGTTAAAAGGATCTCATTTTTTTAAAAACATATTCTTTGTACACATTTTTTCCTATCTGTCCAATTTTTCTCCTTTGCTCTTCTGTACTGGGAGCTGGTTGCTCCAACTTGTACTGGGAGCTGGTTCAGTGCACAATGGAATGATTCTTCGCATAAGAAATTAGGATTGAACAAAACACTAGGCTCTGTGAGCACCTGGGAGAGTGTTCACAGTGAGGAGGTCGTGGCAGGATCCAAGGATGGCTTCAGGTTTGTTGACATTCAGTTGAAGGAATTTAAGGCTCATCCAGGACTTGATGTCTGATCAGGAAACAGTCAAGACAACAGTGGGTCTCAAATCAAGAGTGGAAGCATATATGTGGAAGTGGATCCCATGTCTGTGGTTGATGTCACTAAGGGGGGAGCATGTAGATGAGGAAAAGGAGAAGACCAAGGATATTTGACTGTGCGGGTGTAAGAGAAGCCAGTGGAGGAAACATAGTGAAAGTCACTGGGACAGTGGAAAAAGTGGAACCAGGAAGTATGATTTCACGGAGGTGGAGCAAAGAGGAAAGGTCTTGGGAGAAGAGTAGAATTTTTGACAGTGTGTTGAAGACAGCAAAGTCTGATACACTGTACAGAAATGACTTGTTTATCACTTAAATGCAAGATTATTGAACGTTATGAGAAGGAGGAACACATGAATAATGTGTTATTTTAAAGTAATAATAATGTTTGAATTTGATATAGCACCTTACTATGTCGTCAAGGCATCTCAAAGCGCTTCTCAGGATATACTGTAAAGTGGATTGACTGTATATTTTGCAGGCAATATACAGTTGTCAATTTGTACAATGCAATGTCCTGAAAACAGCCATGGAGTGAGTGACCAATTTTATTTGGGGGATTTGTTGGCAGGACACCGGGAGGAACTGTTTCAAATAGTGCCATGGGATCTTTAGTGTCCACCTGAACGAGCAGATAGAATCTGGGTTTAACGTCTCATCGGAGGGATGGCATCTCCAACAATGCAGCGCTCCCCCAGCACTGCATGGGCATTGGAGCATCAGCTTGGACTAAGTGACTTGAACTTGGACTTGAACCCACAACCTTCTGAAACAGAGGTGAGAATGCTACCACTTGGCCAGCCTGACACACAACTTAGAAATTTGTTTTGTCAGGTCCCTGGCCTTCACTTATAAGAACCAACAGCTAAAACAGAGAAAAATAATTATAAAAACAAAAATTGAACAATTGGAAACATGCCAATGAATTCTTACCTGAAAGGCTGAAGCCAGACTGGTGTAGATTTCGCACTGGTTGGGGCTGTTTGGAAGGAGATGTCTTAGCTGATGCTGAAGGGGTTCCTGCTTTAGGAGTGCCTATATCATAGACTGGGCCATCGTACATTCCCCTTGGCACACCACGGACCTTTGCCAACTAGGAAAGAGAAAGAAAGATATAAAGTGAAGAGAAAAAAATATGTACATCAGGACGGAATCGAACAACATGGCAAACAATCATCCTAGTCTCAGATTAAAGTCCCACTTGGGCTCATAATCTAGTCTAACAGTGCTGGGTGATTGCTGCATTGTTGGAAGTGTCATCTTTTAATTTTGACATTAAACCAGTCTGTTGGCTTTCATGTTCATGACAAGACCTCACCTCTGTATTGGTGTTTATGGAGCTCCCAGCAGGAAGGACACATTATGTCCGCAGTTGCATTATTGAGGCATTATTTATGATAATGCCCACGTCATTATACACTTTTCTGACAAATGTTTTTCAACTCCAGTAATTGACTGTATAAAAAAACTCAGCTTTCTACTTTGTTTCTACATCAGGGCAGGCCCTGCAGTTTAAGCCATTTGCTACTGTATCAGAGACAGCAGAACTGATCGAGGAATTAGCCCGGAGGCCTCTGTGAGTTACTGCCTGATATGGAAACATTGCTGCAGCTCCAGATGGAAATTCCTCACTTTTGCCATGCACACATGATACTTATGGAAACTTCCACTCAAAGATGAGCTTAGTATTGACGGATCAGTGCAATTTATTTGGTGTGCGGCAGGAGAATGTATAAATATTATCATAAGCCTGTGTTAATTAACACTGAAGTATCAGCAAGGCACTGGAAAAACGCAACCAGATGGTTTGTAACAAACCCGACAGATTAATAGGGATCACAGACCAATCCATGATGAACTGACAGTTACCGATCTCTGCTAATTACAGAATTATTGATCTGGGCTGGAGTGACAGATAAGCTGCTCCCAAATCAGATATATAATAGATCAGTCTCAATGCTCTGGATACCCTCATATTCCATATGTAAGGATATATGACCTAAAGCTTGACCTAATATTGCCATTCACAACTTGAATCGGTGTCCTTTTCTGTTGTTACGTTGGACCTGGATTTCCTTTCTCTAACCTTTTAAGCTACTTTTATAGCTCTATCAGGGCCCCTGTTTCCAAAGCTGCAAAAAAAATGTGGCTGGTTTAAGCTGATGATATAATGTGAATGAAAATATTTGGACTAATAAATGTGATGACCCCAGTTACCGACCACCAATGACACTGGCCTCAACACATGCGCAGTGATGTCTGAGAGATAGTAATTAAGATAATAATTATAAGGAACTGTTGCCTGAAATACCAACTCCAAACTGATTAAATAAATCCCACTAAATCTTTAGTGCTGTTATGTTTTAATAAAGGTATTATTTTACAGTCTAGCGGCATTGAATTCTACACCTGATTTGGGTATCAACAACAACAACTTGCATTTATATAGTGCCCCACGCAGGGTAGCTTCCCAAAGCGCTTGTCTAGCACAATGCCGAGCCAGGGGGAGGTGAGCCTAGACACAGTCGAATAGGAAGGTCTTCATGTGCGACCTGAAGGTGGCGAAGGAGGGGGCAAGGCAGAGGGATAGAGGAAGGATGTTCCAGAATTTCGCGGCTATTGGCTGAAAGCGCAGCCACCAATGGTGGAACGGAGTTCACGAGGGACACGCCAGTCGAGCGGAGGCAGAGGGTTGTGGGTTTGCAGAGGTAGGGAGGTGTCAAGGCATGAAGGGATTTGAAAATGAGTGTGAGGAATTTGAAATCGATGATAGGGTGACAGGGACCAGGTGGAGCCTGGCTAGAACCGGTGTGGTGGGGATACAGAGTTTAGTACAGGTGAGTATGAGGGTTTTGGATCAGCTGGATCCTGTGCATGGTGGAGCTGGGGAAACCGGCAAAGGGCGCATTTGAGAAGCTGAGTTGGGAGGGATGGATGCATGGATGAATGTTTTGGCTGTGTCTGTGGTAATGTACGGTTGTTGGCGGGCAATGTGGCGGAGGTGAAGGAAGGCGGTCCTGGTCAGGGACCGGATGTGGGGAAGGAAGGACAGCTGTGGGTTGAACCTGATGCCTAGGTTGCGCACTGGTTCAGTAAGTCTGAGGGATAGGCCAGGGAGGTTGAGGAGGTGAGAGCCGCAGGATAGAAAACGTTGATGGAAGCCAATGCGTATGGCTTACGTCTTGTCAACTTTGAGTTGTAGGTAAGTTTTTGCTCATCCAGGCCCTGATAACCGTCAGACAAACAAGAGAACATCGGGGGACCTGGAGTCACAGCTGAAGGAGAAATCGATTTGTGTGTCATCTCCATACATGTGGAGGTTTACCCCATGTCTGCGAATGACATCGCCGAAAGGGAACATGTAGATGAGGAAGAGGCCAAGAATGGGGTACACCATAGGTTACCGGGCGGGGGCAGGGAGAAGCAACCGTTTGAGGAGATAAAGTGACGGTGGTTTGTTAGGTAGGACTCAAACCAGGCTAGTGCACCCACTGAAGTGGATGAGGCAGGAGAAGTAGTGGAGGAGGACAGTATGGTCAATTGTGACGTGTTTTGAGATGCTCCCCTGAAGTGAAAGGTGATATATCAAATGCAAGGATTATTATTATTATACTTACCAGCATATAGAATATAAACCCAGGTAGAGAGACGGGATAGTATTTTTTTAAAAAAATCCACATTAATCCTATGTCAAATCCAGGCATCAATGCGTGATAATAAACAATAATAATTCCTGCCTTCAATAATAGAACTAATGACATTGCAACATCTCAAAGAGTTTTACAGGAAATTACTGTAACTTTTTTTGCAGTCAAATGGGCAGCCAGTCCAGCACAGTCCTCCCACAAACAATCACAAGGTTGCTATATTATGTGGATTGGCTGACCAGGTTATGTGAAGGAATACTGGCCAGGAGAAATTTGCTTCTCTTTTCATGAGATCTCCAATGTTTGCAGATGTTCAACATGATCAACATCTCACCTGAAGGATGGCACCTACAAGAATGCAGTGCTCCACCCAATATTGCAATGGAATGTCAGCCTAGACTATTAGCTCAGTCCCAATTTTGGGCTTGGCCCCACAACCTTCTGACCCAGAGATGAAAGCGCTGTCAATTTGATGGGGAGGTGGTGGTGGTGAAGGGGGTTGGGTGGGGGTGTGGAGTGGAGATTGCGAGGAAAAAATGCGGCACAGTTTCGAATGTGAGAGGTGTCAGCATGACTCAGTTGGTCACTCTCATTTCTGAGTCAAAAGGTTGTGCATTTGAGCCACATCGAGACTGAGTTTACTGACAGGGCTGACAGAACAGAAATGTGAGCACTGCAGAACAAGCACTGTAAAGCACTTATGATATTATGAGATAATAAGGCGCTGGACCACATGTAAAGGATTATTGTCAGAACAGATTTATGGCCTCGATCCCCAGATCCAACACCTGAGATATAGCTGTAAATGTTTCTAACAACAACAAAATTACATTTCCAAAACAGATTTATAACAACCAAAAATAACCAAAACTCAGTGTATCAGCCCTGAAGCTGGTGAAAGCAGTCATTGTGATCATTTCCTTCTCTCTCTCAAGAATGAAAGTGGTGTCAGATGTTGGCGTGGGAATGTAATTTAAAACCTGCATTCGCTTGTTCTCCCTCCCCCAACAGCAGTTTTCAGCAAAATAAGCAAATCTCAGTGACCCCCCCCCATCCCACCCACCCCTTCACCAGCTGGCCCATCCCATCAAGCATCACCAACACTGGTTAACTTTTGCGGACACACATGTTTGCATCCAAGAGTGAAGCACTGAGGAATGCATGGAATTGGCTGGGTGGCCAAGCAAGTCTAGATCCACTTCCTGTGTGAAACCCTTACTTCCCCTTTCCTCTTTTCTCGCTGCAGCTATTTATATCTATTTGCAGTTTTCCCTTCACATTCAGATGGAAGTTTTTTTACTGAGAAGTCTGCGTGAGGGATGGAACAAATGGGAGGGAAGGTGAGATACCCCACGTGCCTGATATGTTTCGGGCCAACTATCACAGCAAAAGGATTCAAGACACTTTTCAGGAAATCCGTAGCTCAGGTGGTACCTTGGGATGTAAAGTGCGCCTTTTGGAGGAACCCTGGTTACATAACAGATGAGAATTTGGTTCTGACCTGAGATCATTCTGGAAGTCTAAGTTTAAGAAGCATCACGTATTTGGGGTTCCCTGCAGGAAACACACATTACATCTTGTGCCGCTTCTCCTTGTTCAGCATTGAGGCATTATTTACACCAACACAAGATAACACCATTTACATGAGAATCAGCTAGCTGGGCAGGGAGGAAAAACAACTTGGCATAAGACCAATCTGCTGCAGGGCCCTGCAAGGCCCTTCTGTTTAATAGCTTAAGAAATAAAAACACTGTATAAACTCAACACAGAGCAGCAATGTGACACACACATATTAGAGACAAAACAGAAGTCTCTAGACGACATATGATTAGATCATCACCTAGGACAAACTAATACCAGTGAAGTAATGGAAATTCTGTGATGTTTCACAAAGGACTTTCTACTGCCCTTCCAAAGCTGTCCCCTGTCTCTCTCCCTGGGTTTATATTCTATATGCTAGTAAGTATAATAATAATAATCCTTGCATTTGATATATCACCTTTCACTTCAGGGGAGCATCTCAAAGCACGTCACAAAATTTACTGTAAAGTGTAGTGACTTGGGTATTTTGCAGGTGAATGAGTTCAAGAGATCATCCCCAAGACCAGAAGAAGTGCGTGGGTTACAGTGATTAGGGGTAAACACAAACTGGGAAACTTTGCCAACAAAATACACAGTCACTGCACTTTATGTGAAACACTTTGAGACATGAAAGGTACTATATCAAAAGCAAAAAGCAAAGGTTTTTATAAACATACAGAATATATCAAATATATAAATGTGTAGGAATACGTAAGAATATGTTTGTGGTGGAACCATTGCCCCTCCTCCTTGCTTGTGGTACAATTCTCAAACGTGACATTTGTGAAGCTGGGTCAAGCATTCAACTGCTGGTCACTGCTTTTGTGGAGTTTTAGTGAACAAAGAGCTCAAGTGTATTTCTGTTGACCGCCAGTCAAGTTAAATGAAGTTGAATAATTGAGCCGGCTTCACGAATGCTGGCAATGAGAACACAAAATTTAAACTACGTGGCTCACTTCGTTAATATCTGTAAGAATGGGCAATTAAGGCTCTCCTGTGGTTTACTTGTATTTGGAAAGTACACAGGGCTCAATCAGGCTACTGGAGGAATGAGGAGGTGATGGCTCTTACCTGCTTCCGTGCTTTGATGCGCTTGTGTACATAGTCTGAGAAGGGCTTGCAAGGGACAAAGCGTCCGCTTCCTGGGGTCACGTGCAGATTTCCATCCTCCAGGACAATCTTGCCCTGGCTGATCACAACTATAGGAGCGCCAAACAATTCCATCCCTTCAAAGATGTTGTATTCTACAGCCTGTTGCACAAGAGAGTGGGAAGAAAAGAGAGAAGGTTTATTTAAGCCTGCAAGAGAGACAGATGTTCATATAAACAATGACAAAGTCAAAATGGCAATCATGTTGTATATTCCTGTAAACAAAGAGATAGTGATAATAATAATCATCCTTCATTTGGTTATTGTGTCTATAAAGTAAAACGTCTCAAAATGCTTCACAGATAATGACAGTCAAGTCCAAACATCTCCGGCCATTTTGCACATACTAAGGTCCCACAAATAGCTGTGAAGTGAATGACTGATTTATCTGGAGGATACTTGGCCAGGACACGGTGAGAAATTCCCTTCTCCTTTTCAGTACTGACCTGGAAATCTTTATCGTCCAACCTGAACAGGCAGCTGATTGAACACTGGAGAAAACATTTAACAATCTGTTTAAAATCTGTGACCTGCTTTTGTAAGGCTGGGTTGAATCCAATTCCTCTTGTTGGGCGTTTGACTGGGTGAATGCACTGCTGGCAAGGATCAGGGAAGGAACAGATTTGATCTCAATTACAATCCAGTGTGCCCAGGCTGGTGAGGGAAAATACTATTAATTTGGGATGTCACTCCTGACTGCTATACAGCGACAACACCAATAAACACCACCCCCGCCCTAAAGTGCACATTCCTGGACATCAACTGAGGACAAGGTTGGGCTCAGCTCTGATGCCCCACCCCCACAGTCAAATTGCTGTCTTAGCTTGCCTCAGCTTACACGTGAATAGCTTTTAGTGAGGAACTGGAGGGCAACTGATGTAAAGTACCGTGACACAACACACAAGATAATGAAAAAATGCACACAGGGTGGGGTGGGGAGCTGGAAGTGGGAATCCAAACATCCCTCTCACACAGAATCTCGCCCAGCTGGTGGCAATACCTAATATTTTCATTTGGTGCTAAACTCAGCATGGCTTTTACCCTCGAATAAGCAAAGACAATAATAATAATAATAAAAACAACACAAAATACTGCAGATGCTGGAAATCTGAAAACAAACACAGAAGTCGCTGGGAACACTCAGCAGGTCAGGCAGCAGCTATGAAGAAAGGTTAGTGAGTCAACGTTTTGGGTCCACGACCCTTCGTCAGAACTGGGGCATGTTGGGAGGGAGAGGCTTTAAGGGCTAACAGAGAGGGCAGAGGCAGGGCAAGGAAGACAAAGGAGAAAATGGGGTAGAGGACAGGGGATGATGGGTTAAAGAGGCGTTAATGATGCAAAACAAAGCAGGGGAATAGAGGTGTTAACACTGCAGAATAAAAAGGGGGGGAGGGGGGAAGAATTGCAACAAAAAAGGCAGAGCAGAGAGAGAAAAGGTGTGTCTGGGACCAAGATGATGTGGTAATGGTCACAGAAGAGTGGGAAGGGGAAGATGAGCTGTTATGGTCTGAAATTATTGAAATGAATATTGAGGCCAGAGGGCTGTAAGGTCCCTAACAGATAGATGAGGTTTGTAGATAGATGAGGTGCTGTTCCTCAAGCTTGCGCTGTGGCTCATTAGTACAGTGTAGGAGACCGTGGAGGGAGAGGTCAGAGTGCGAGTGGGAGGGAGAGTTGAAATGACAAGAGACCGGAAGCTAAGGGTTGTGCTTGCGGACAGAACAGAGGTGTTCGGCAAATCGGTCACATAATCTCCGTTTGGTCTCCCCAGTGTAGAGGAATCCACATCGTGAACAGCGAATGCAGTAAACTACATTGGTGGTAGTACATGTAAATCGCTGTCTCACTTGAAAACTGTGTTTGGGGCCCTGGACAGTGGTATGAGAGGAGGTGAAGGGGCAGGTATTACATCTCCTGCGCTGGCATTGGAAGGTGCCGGGGCGAGCAGAGGAACTGTTTAGTGGTGATGGAGGAATGAACAGGGAGTCATGGAGGGAAAGGTCCCTACGGAATGCTGAGAGGGGTGGGGAGGGAAAGATAATTTTAGTGGTTGTATAATAATAATAATCCTTGCATTTGATATAGCACCTTATCACGCCTTTGAGATGTCTCAAAATGCTTCACAGAATATACTGTAAAGTGAAATGTGTGTATTTTGTTGGCAAAACGTGGCAGCCAATTGTGCACAGAATAACCTTCTAGTCACAGTCATTAGTTCCCATTCAGCATTCACAGAACTTTCTTGAGTGTGCCATCTGCTTGCTTTTTTCTAAAGCCTGAGGATGTTGTCTCTGATCTCAAGATGCACTACCCAGGGAGATTATAAAAGACTAGACTCTGAGCAGCAGAGAAAGAAACATTAAACTGAACTCTGCTTTAACTGGACTCCGCTTTGCTTCTACTGGACTTACAATAGAGGAATGTGTGTTAGGCTGTCAGCCAAGTGACTCGGGTTCAAACACAGAGACATTCCCTGGGGGTGAGCCTAGCCTTAGGGAGGAGGAGAGGAAAAAGGGAGTAAAATAGCCAAGTAAGCCAGCCCCTCCTTGCATCGCACACATGGACCTTGGACCTCTTGGCAACCAACTGAGGAACGATGCTGGAATAGATTGTAGAATGTTCTGGACAGGCTTACGCTGTTGGTGACATGTTGTAAGTGTACGGAAGAAAATGGAAAGAAAACAATTTAAAGAAGTCTAACCCCAAAATTTGAAAAACAAAAGGAATTTAAACATCAGGATTGCTGCAGTGCTGGAAGCAGTCAGTGAACCACACTACCAGTTACTGCCTCAATTAGAGCCGAACCTGCTCTGTAGCCAGCAAACTTCACAGCCAGCAAACAGAGGGCGCAATAGAGGGGTGAGGGAGCGAGAGAATGAGAGAAGAGAAGAGAGGGGGAATGAAGAGAGAAGATATAAAAGAGAGGGAGAGAGAAGGGAGGGAGGAGAAAGAGAGAGATAAAAAGGAGAGGATTTGGTACCTGAAGGTAAAGGATATCAGCCCACTAACTAACACCCACCAGTCAATAAAAGTTGTTAAGAGTGATCGCATCATTGCACTAGAATAAACCTCCTGGAAAGTCAGGTGATCCTTCCCAGCAGCTGGACTAATGTCAGGCTGGTTAGCCAGGTCAGGCTTTGTACCGCTCACTCTCGGCAAGCCCTGAACCTGTGATTTATGGGTCTGGGCTGAAAGCGACAAAAATAAGAAAAGTTGAAATGGCAGATGTGGAAGCTGCACCTCAGCACATCTGGCAGGTCAACGAGACAGACAGGAACGATCCAAGGTCTGTACGAGAAAGAGGCAAGATAACACATATATAAACACAACACACACACAGGACGACGTCTGGTTTATAGTTATAAAAACTCAGGGCCACTCCTCACCAGCTATTTTTCCCAGTGAGCAACAATGAGTGGGGAGAAAGGAGAGAGCAGAGAGCCTCAGAAAGCAACCAACAACTTGCATTTATATAGCGCCCTTCACGCAGGGTAGCGTCCCAGAGTGCTTGATGGTAGCAGGGTCTGACCCCGAGTGACAGGGAGAGGGAGGGGGAAATGACCATAAGCATGATGAAAAAGGAAGGTCTTTAGGCAGGATTTGAAAATGGGGAGGGAGGGGTGGAGGGTAAGCAGATTGGATAGGCAGGAGGTGGGAGGGCACAAAGGAATTTGAAAAAGAGTTGAAAGGATCTTGAAATCGATCCATTTGGTAATTGGAAGCCAGTGGAACCTGGCAAGGACTGGTATGATAATAATCCTTAATAATCCTTGCATTTGATATAGCGCCTTATCACATCTTCGAGACATCTGAGAACGCTTCACAGAATATGTAAAGTGAATTGACTGTATATTTTGTGAGCGAAACGCGGCAGCCAATTGCCTGCAGCAGTGTCTCACAAACAGTCGTGGTTTGAAGTGACCAATTTATTATTATTTTGCTTTTGAAGGGATTATTAACCTCAGAAAAGTAATCTGCCAATTGACTAACAACCGGGTTCCTACTGCTAGGTAAACAGAGGAGTGTCAATTAAGGAAACATGCCCAACATTTCGCCCTGCCCGGGATCGAACCCAGGTCTCTCGCTTGCGAGGCGAGTGCTCTAACCACTGAGCTACAAGACTGATGGGGATATGGAATTTTGTGCGCATTTGTGAGTATCCCCTGTGTGTATTTGTTTGTCACCTCCTACCTGGATTACTCAAACACACTCCTCGCTGGTCTCCCTAGCTCCACTATTCAAAAAATTCAGCTCATTCAGAACACTGCCGCCCGCACACTGACCCGGCCAAACTCCATACCCCCATCTCACCAGTTCTGGCCCAGGCTCCACTGGCTCCCCATCAGCGAACGGATCGACTTCAAGAACCTCACTCGTGTTCAAATCCATTCACTCCCTGGCACTTCCCTGCCTCTCCGACCTCCTCACTCCCCATTCAACCACCTGGCACCACCACCGACTGGCACCGGCCTCCTGCTTGTCCCTTACACCTTCCACTCTACCATTGAAGGTTGCTCTTTCAGTAACTACGCCGCAAAACTATGGAAAACTCTCCCTCAAACCCTCCGCCTTGCCCCCTCTCGCCTCTTTATCAAGTCCTGCCTGAAAACTTTCCTTTTTGACTGTACTTACGGTCACCTACCACCACGCGCCTGGCTCGGACCAGGCTCCGCCACCATCAATAATAATAATAATAATAATAATCAAGCGCTCTGAGACGCTACACTGTGTGGAGGGAGCTATATAAGTGCAAGTTGTTGTTGTATCCGGGCAGTTTAGTTTTGGATTAATTGAATTTTGTGTATAATAATAATATAAGTGTTTTCCATGAGCAGAAAAGAATGGTGGAGAGCTTGGAGGAAGGGAGGGTGATATGAGATAGAGGGGATGAGGAAGTGGTCTCAGATTGGCCTTGTCAACTACCTGCAAAGAACATGAATGGAGGCCTTTGCTACATCTTTATTACACTGTTACCGAGCAACTAGATGCCTTTGAGAATGAATTAGGACAGGAGACATAATTGGAGGGGTGGGGGGGCAGAGAAGACATTATTTCAGTATGGGTGCTACAATGTGAAGCACGGGGGTGGTGGTGGTAAGGTA